CATGGTTTCAATAACAACAGTTCAAAGTACAGAATGCTTGTCTTGAAACGGTAAACTTGAATTATGTCCATGATCTAGCTGCCTTTAAAATGTACATACTGTATATACACAATACTGCATTACTTCTAACAGTAAACACCAGGCTACAGATAAATACATAGACAACTGAGAAAATCAGATGGGGGTCAGTGAACAAGAATATATTCTAGACCAATGATAGATTCAGCTGAGGATAATCTTGCACAAATGCTAATGATACAAAATAACCACAATAATTTCAGAAGCAACAGAAGACACTTGGAGCAAGCCCTCAGAGACAGCCAGACACTGTGAGAGAGAGAACCACCAGATCTGCTGACTCAGGACCATAGTATCGGGGGGGGGGGGACACCAGGCTGAATTGGCACAGACATAAAAATCTTGTTCCACAACCTACTTTGGTGAGTAGCAACTAGGGTCTTAAAAGCTTTGAGCAGTCATCTAAGATGCAGCTAATGGTCTCCTCTCGTATGAAATGAAGAAGAGTGAAGAAAATCAAGGGCATTTGGAAACTATCAGCCCTAGGATATGATGGACCTTGAAACCATAAGAACTAGATGGTGACCAGCTACCAATGCCAACCACTCAAGAAGGCATCAAAACTGGAGATCCTGGATAGAGTAGGAGGAAAAATGTGGAACAAAATTCAAAACACATTGATGACCAGAATTACTGGTTGTATGGAGTCTGGTGCGATCCCCAAGACTATGGCCCTGGGATAAAACTCACTCCCAAGGGCTGGCTCTCAGCCCAACAGTAGTAAGACTTATATGCAGAATACCCCAACCCAGGCTGATGTGCCCACCTGCTCTACAGAAATACCCTCCTTGGAGCAATCAGCCATGGGGCACCAGAAGGGCAACATTCACATGGAGGAAAAGCTGGACAGAGAGGAGTGCATAACTAAGAAGGGCACAGGATTGTGGGGGGAGAGCGGAGTCACCGGGAAGGGAGAGGAGGAGAAGGCATTAGGGTTGGGGATGGTAATTGGGGAGTGAAACCAAATGTACATGGACTGTTGAATGTAAAACAAATTCTGCTCTGTAAATTTGCACCCAAAGCACAATTTAAAAAAAAAAAAAAATGATTCCACGTCCTGCTTCATACTATTTGACACATCCTACCTTAGTGATCCTTTGGTCAATGACAATGTGCACAGTTTCTCCTCTGAGTGCCTGACCTACATATAAGTATTAGGTAGTGCCACAGGGGGAGCTCTGGTAGCATAGTGGCTAAGTCACTTGCCTGCTAACCAGACGGCTGGCGGTTCAAACCCACCAGCCACTCCTCGGAAGGAAGGTTGGGCAATCCTACTTCCGTAGTGATACTGCCTCGGAAACCCAAGGAGGGGTCGCTATGAGTCGGGGCCGACTCGACGGCACATAACAACAACAACAACAGTGCCACAGGCATCTTAACTTGTCAGAAACAGATTTTTTTTTTCCTTTTGTTCTCATCCAAACTTACTTCCTTATGTCCTAAGATAAAATGGTTTTTGGCGTGGTTCTGAAGTTTGAACCCACCAGCCACTTCACAGAAGAAAGATGGGACAGTCTGTTTCCCTAAAGATTTACAGCCTTGGAAACTCAATAGAGGTTGCTATCTGCCAGAACTGTCCTGATGGCAGTGAGATTGGTGGGGTTTTTTTAAAGTGTGGAGGCTTATTGAAGCACAGACTGATGGGCCATACGCAGATAGCTTTCTGAATCAAGGGATCTGGGCTGAAGACTGCAAATGTGCATTTGTAAAAATTTTCATATGATACTGGTGCTTTATTACACTTCAGTATGTTCAGTTCTTCACAAGAAATGTTTACATAAATAATTTGTCTAAATAAAACCTAGAGCTCAATATTCTGGTTAGGGTTAAAGATACTCACCACTCCTGTTTTGTGGGTAAACACGCTATTGAAAAAGTTAACAGAGAGAACTTGATGCCTACTTGTCCTCAAGAAAGTTGGATTCTTTGTTGGCTAGAGTTGATAGCACTCTACCCATGCATGTAAGTGAGTGTCAAAATATTCAGTCCTATTGACTAAAGTTGTCTCATTTTCCCAAGTTCAGATATTTGACAGGAATCATCAGATAGCACAGAGTGTACTCACCTGAGACTTTTATTTAAAGGTAAAGAACTCAGTGCAGCAAGAGAAAGAGAATTAGGACACGTATTGGTGGTCCAAGAGATGTTCTATAGCATGAGGTCCTGGGCCTAATATTTGAGCACCTAGGCCATGCAGAATCTCTACATTAAACTACCAAGATCTGTGTAAAAAATCTTGACTTTAGTAGAGTTTACCGAGAAAGCTGTCAATGTCTCTTTAAATAGTCAAGCCACAAGTTCGCCAGCTGCAAATCATCAGTGCAGCAGCTATCTAGCCTTGAGGGTGTCCAAGGGACTTTCAGACCCTAAACAGAACATCATAAATCTTACTGCCCTCATCCTGACTGAAAGTAAGAAACAGACATGTAAGTGTCCCCAGAGATAAAGAGAGAGCTTTTCCAGTCCAGCTCTAAACCCAACTGTACACAGTGGTCTTGTAGGGAAGGCAATTGAAACTTCAGTATGATGGGCCAGTTGCATGTGGAGCCAAGCAACCTAACCCCAGGTCTCTAGCCACAGGCTGCCAAAGAATATTGATGTTAGGCAAGCATTTAGCCTCTGAGCTCTCCAGAAAAAAAGAATCCAATCCTCAAGTGTACAGTAGAAACTACTTATACACAATGACAGTCAAAGCATTGGTGCCTAAATTAAAAATGCTGTATTGTAATCAGCTTGATTCAGATATATATATATAAGCCTGCAAGCTAAATATTTTAGGGCATAGTCTGGTGACCAAATAAAGCAAATCTCACTCAATCCAAAGTGATATATACATATATTTTTGGTGTCTCCAAAAAAAATTGTTCAAACAATATGAATTTATGTGTAAGAAAAGCAGTTACATAAAAATTTTTTGAATACATTACAATATTTCCTATTGCTCATTAGATATACTAAAAATAACTCACTGCCATCGAGTCAATTCCAGCTCATAGCTACCTTATTTGGGTTTCTGAGGCAGTAAATTTTAATGGAAGTAAATTGCCCAGTCAGTCTTCCTTCCATGGGGTGACTGATGGGTTTGAAGTGCCAACCTTCTGGTTAGCAGCCAAATGTCTTGGGCACTCCACCATCAGCTCCAATTCCAGTACTTATGGATAAGGAGTCAGGGGATCTAGATCTTCTACGCAGATCTCTATTATCAGGAAAATATTTGAGGCAATTTTTCTATATAATATCAACCAAATATATCAAACCCATTGCTGTTGGGGGATTTCGAATCATAGTGACCCTATAGAGCAGAGAAGAACTACCCCATAGGGGAGCTCTGGTAGCATAGTGGCTAAGGCACTTGACTGCTAACCAGAAGGCTGGCGGTTCAAACCCAGCAGCCACTCCTCGGAAGGAAGGTTGGGCAATCCTACTTCCGTAGTGCTACTGCCTCGGAAACCCAAGGAGGGGTCGCTTTGAGTCAGGGCTGACTTGACGGCACATAACAACAACAACAACAACAATCTTTAGGGAAACAGACTGCCACATCTTTCTCCCACTGAGCAGCTGACTGGGAACTATAAACCTTTCAGTTGGGAGCTAAGCACTTAACCACTGTGCCACTAGGGTGCCTCCTTCCATTTGTTGTTGTTGTTATGTGCCCTCAAGTCAGACCCAGCTCATAGCGACCCCTCCTTGGGTTTCCGAGGCGATATCACTACAGAAGTAGATTGCCCAACCTTCCTTCCGATTCCATATAAAAGTATATCAAATATGTTCAATTTTAAGGGAAAGATCATATTCCACTATCTTTATCCAGTTTTATTACCTATTTTTTTTTAATTTGTACTCAATTTCATACCCTGTACAATGAAATAGTTGCATCTAACTAATTTTTTTTTTTTTTCCAAAGTGTGGTCTCATGATCACCTGATCACCTACATTAGGAACATCTAGGCAATGCTTCTGAAACTTCACTGTGCAAAAGAGCCACTTGGGGATCTTTGAAGATGCAGATTATGATTCAGTGGGTCTGGAAAGAAGCCTGGGATCCTGTGTTTCCATTCCCAGATAATTTCCTTGCTCCTGTTTGATTAGCAAGAATATTATTTAATTTAAAATGTGTGTGTGTGTGTGTGAGAGAGAGAGAGAGAGCGTGTCTGTGAATATAACGATGTAGAAACATCAAAGGAACCAATAAATGATGTTGGGACTGAAAATCTGCATTCCCAGCAAGCAACCACCATGCCAGGTGATTTTATAAATGCTCTAGTTTAAAAACGACTTGATTTAGTTACTTCTACTTGTAAATTGGGAACTCGGGTGTGTAGTGCCTAAGGCATTAGGTGGAGGTGAAATATATTCTTTTACTTCTACAGAGAATCTATGTTGTTTGCATATCTGCTGATGCAAATGACTGCCAAGACTTCTGCATCTAGACTCAAACTATAATTAGGTTCTAATATTTTGGTCCAAAATATAAGCTCAAACTTCATTCTATACTACTCAAATTTACTCTTGCCATAGTACGTGTTTTAGGATTTTTCTTCCAGGCAAGGGACCAAACAGCACCTTCCTGTTTACTTCTGTTAGAACTCAAAATAAAAGATAAATTAATTAATTAAAATACAGCATCACATTTATTTTCTTGTCCCATCACTGGCTTTTTCTTTTTTTTTATCACACCCTTACATCTTACAGCAATTATGAAATTATCTCATGCTTCTTCTCAGTAACATCTTCAGTCTTTATAGGAAATGTTTACCTAAACTACATGCTTTATACACTACAGTATATAACAAAGTAATGCAGAGTAAGATTTCCGTGTGCTACTGAAATGAATGTTATTAATTACACCACCACAAAGTAGTATAGTGATTTATCTCATAGCCTAACCATATTTTCTAATTTTCATTCTCCTTTCCTTACAGTATAAGCAAGTGGAACAGTACATGTCATTCCATAAATTACCAGCTGATATGCGTCAGAAGATCCATGATTACTATGAACACAGATACCAAGGCAAAATCTTTGATGAGGAAAATATTCTCAATGAACTCAATGATCCTCTGAGAGAGGTAAGATTTATAGTCCTAAATCTCTGTACTGTGCCACCTTTGTTCTCTCTTTTCATGATAAATACTAGAATCCATATTGAGGAATCCATATTCCATGACACTATTCAAAACAAAAACAAGAAATAAGTATGAAGACATCTCTTTCTTTTCTTATTATTTTTCTCCCATATGGAGATATTTAATCATTTTTTAAGTATTAAATATTTGTTCTTCTAGATATGATTCTCAAAACTATTCTAATTTCTTTATCCTTTGCTCTCAAAATTAATTATTTGGTCTCATTTTCCATAGCTGAGCTCCCACTTCCTCCTGCTTACTGAGGGAGGTTCTTTACATGCTTCTTGATTTCTAATCTCCCACCTGTCTTTATTATCCCCACCATCTCCTGAGTCAGTCAGCCACTTAATGTTCTTCCACGCTAGGATTCCTTGCTTCCCCATGCTCCGTAATTCCTACACACAATGCTGTGATTTCTCATCTTTTCTGCCCTGATTCTCATTCTGACAGATATTATCATATTGTATTAAAAACTGTAAAGTTTTGAAACTGTTGATAATGATGAATTCAACAAATTCATAATTCCAATCCATAGTATGTATACAATAGTGTCATTCTTCTAAGGATTCTGTCCCATTCTCCATGACAACTGTCAAAACCATTGCTTGATATTCTGATCAGTCTCTAGGATATATTCATACCAACTTGTTTGCTATGATTGAAGCAACATGAGCTTCAGTTTTTTTCCTCTCTACATACCTTTTCATCCTTCAGAGATACTGAGAGTAATTTCATTCATGTTCTGTTAGCTCAGTAAAGCACTTTGCAACATTAATAGTCAGCTCTTTGTCTTGAATCATCTTCCATCTCACCCTGGCAGCTTTCTCTCTACCACTAGATGCTTAGGTCACTTATTGACCGAAAGACTATACTCTTGTTTCCTTATATTCTTTACACTGCTCTGACAGCACTGATTTATTTTACTATCACTCTTCTCAAAATAGTTCTATGTACTCATTGTCTAACTTTGTGATGTGGTTGTGACAACCACTTACTTATTAAAATACATTCTTTGTAAGTTATCAGTGAACTTTCATTCATCAAATCTCTTATCTTCGATTTGTTGATGGTGCTTTTGATATGGCTGACAAAATACACATTTTTAATTTCTTCCTGGGGTTCATTAACACAGGACCCATGACTGAGCCATTGGATTTTCATTCTACCTCATTCTGACTTTGATATTTTCTTTATTTCATCTCAGACTTTTATTGTATAATTTAATTAAGTTCCCACCATCATCCAATTTTCTTTTGAACTACATGATATTCCCTAGTAATCTATACCATGCCATAATTTTACTTAATCTAACTCCTATCTCACCTCTAAATTCTAATGTAGTATGTGCTCACTCATCTATGCCAAGATTTTTGGAAGCTATCTACATGGCCAACAGACTGCAAAAGATCCATGTTTGGGCCCATTCCAAGGAAAGGTGATACAACAGAAGGCAGAAATTATCAAACAACATCATTAATATTACATACAAGTAATATTTTGTTGAAAATAATTCAAATACAATTGCAGTAGTACGTTGACAGGGAACTGTTAGAAATTCAAGCCGATTTAGAAGGGAATGTAGAATGTGGCATATCATTGTTGATGTCAGATGGATCTTGGCTGAAAGCAAAGAATACCAGAAAGATGCTTTCTTGTATTTTATTAAGTATGGAAAAGCATTTCAATGTGTGGCTTATAAAAAACTATGGCTTACATTGCAAAGAATGAGAATTTAAAAGCACTTAATTGTATTCCTGAGGAACCTATACATAGACTAAGAGGCAGTTGTTCTAACAGAACAAGGGGATACTGCATGGTTTAAAATCAGGAAAGGTGTGCATCAAGGTTATAACCTTTCACCATACTTATTCAAACTGTATACTGAACAAATAAGCTGAGAAACTAGACCATATGAAGAATAACACAGCATCAGGTTTGGAGAAAGACTCATTAACAACTTGAGATATGCAGGTGATATACCATTGCTTGCTGAAAGAGGACTTGAAGCACTTAGTGATGAAGATCAAAGACTCTAGCCTCCAGCATGGATTATACTTCATCATAAAGAAAACAAAAACCCTCCCAAATGGTCTAATAAGAAACATCCTGATAAACTGAGTAAAGATTGAAGTTGTCAAGGATGTCATTTTACTTGGATCCACAATCAACAGCTATGGAATCAACAGTCAGGAAATCAAACGATACACTGCATTGCTCAAATCTGCTGCAAAAGACCTCTTTGAAGTTTTAAAGAGCAAAGATGTCACTTTGAAAACTAAAGTGTGCCTGACCCAAGCTGTGGAATTTTCAATCACCCGGTATGCATGTAAGAGTTTGATAATGACTAAGAAAGTCCACAGAAGAATTGATGCATTTAAATTATGGTGCTGGTAAAGAATATAGAATATACCATGAATTGCCAGAAAAACAAAGAAATCTATCTTCGAAAAAGTGCAGCAAGAATGCTCCCTTAGAAGCAAGGATAGGGAGACTTTGTCTCTGGTACTTTGATCATGTTATCAGGAGGAACCATTCCCAGAAGGATATTGTGCTTTGTTAAGTAGAGAGTCAGGGGTCGCTATGAGTCGGGTCCGACTTGACGGCACATATCAACAACAACAACATTTAAGTATTTTCTGGATAAATGGTCTTATTTAACAGAATCATGGTTTGAAAAAGAAGAATTTGGGCTGCTTAACAAAATTAGAGATCACAGAAGTGAAAACAAAATGCTTAGACACTTAGCACTTTAAAAAGGTGGTAACAGTTTTTCTCCATTAGCGGTTACTTCCCTGCTATTCAGCTTTTGCTGCTCTGGCACAAGAATCACACTAAAGTAGAAATTTAATTTTTTACTCTCTGAAGTCATATTCGACTGCAGTGAGTTTGTTTGTTTTCATTTAAGCTTGTATTGTTGTCTTGTTGTTATGTGCCACGAAGTCAGACCTGACTTATAAACCCCTCCTTGGGTTTCCGAGGTGGTATCACTATAGAGGTTGATTGCCCAACCTTCCTTCTGAGGAGTGGCTGGTGGGTTAGAAAGTAAAAAGATTAGTAGAATGAGAAAGTAAGTAATGGCATGAAAGAGAAATAACAAAATCATTATTAATATAAAATCTGATGCTAAAAGTCAGACATATTTTTATGCATACAAGTCCAGTAAGAACTATGGAAAGTGTATAAAATTGCCTCCCATGTGTGTGAAATCTGAACAATGAAAAAGGAATACAGAAGAAGAACTGATACATTCATTTTGTAGTGCTGGAAAAGAATACTAAATAGACCATAGACTTCAGGAACAAATAAATCAGTAGTAGAAGAAATAGAAACATTGTCTGATACATTACTGGAAAATATTATGATGGCAGGGAAACATTGTCTGATATAGTGCCAGCAGATGAACGCCTCAGGTTGGAAAGAACTCAAACTCCAACTGGGGAAGAGCTGCCTCATCATAATAGAGCTGACCTTAATGATGTGGATGGTGTAAAGCTTTTCTAGACCTACATTTGCTGACGGGGCATGACTCAAAGTGAGAAGAAACAGCTACAAACATTCATTAATAATAAAAATGTGAGATGTACACAGTGTGAATCTAGGATCAAACATGTAATCAAGAGGCACTGATGGTTACTGGGATTGGAATACAAAAGTTGGAAACAAATGAGAAAAATCAGTGTCGGAAAATATGGAGATTGCATGGTAGAATTTTCCAAACATAATTTAATCATTTAAAATATCTTTTTGGGAGTTCTGGTAAAATGGTGGAATAGGCAGAAAGACTGCACAGACCCTCTTCAACAAAGAAAAGGGTAAGCACTTAACACAGATATAGAAGATGATCCTGGACCCCTGAGCTTTGAAGAGAAGGATATAGAAGTGGACTAAACTCCAACTAGCAGAAGAATTTACACAAAAACACCAAAAGAGGAGATACACAGAGCTGTGGTCTGGCAGCCATGCTAAAGCACAGACAGCTTGGATATTGTCAAGTGGTGTTAGGACCTAAGAATTAACCAAAAAACCATCCCTGATAGCCAGGGACTGCACGGAGGAATGCTCTGGTGTCTGGAAGATAAAAGGGGAAGCAGCAAAAAGGAAGCTGGACTGAGCTGTGGACTTTTGCCTGTCTGGAGGGCACAGCCACTTTGAGTGTTTACAAGTGGTTCGACCATTGTGGATATATAAAGTGACAGCATTCTCTCAGATTCCAGGGACTTAAGAATATGTTCCACTTGCTGAAAACACCACAAGGACATTCCAGAAGCTAACAACTGGAACGGTACAATATTCCACTTGTTTCTCTTTTACCCCCACCCTCTTGGTGAACTGAGGTGCAGCCTTCCCTCACTCCCACCCACCTTCTAGGCCGGTAGGAATTTCATCCCAGTCTATGTGCTCTGATGGAGCCTGGGTGCCCTGCCGTGCCCTGCCCCGATTTTTTTTTTCCTTTTTTCTTCTTTTTAGTTTGTTTGTTTTTGTCTGTTTTAAAACTACTATTATTATTATTACTTTTGTCCTTTTTATTATTACTCTTTATTCTTCCCTTCCCAGATTCTAGTTTTCAGCATTTTCTCTTTTCCCTGTTCCTGGTTCCACTTTTTTTTTTTTTTTTTCTTTCTTTCTTGCGGTTAACCCTGTTCCTTGTTTTTCTTTTTATGTTTTCCCATTTTTTTCTTCATTATTTTCCCTCTCTACCTTTTTTCTCTTATTACCCTCTCCCCAGATATTGTGGGTTTTTTCCCCTTTCTTTTTTTCTGGGGGGTGGGGAGGTTATTATTCCTGTGTGGTTACACAGTGTGTTTTTTGTCCATTTGCTTTTACTTTTTTGATGGTCATTCAATTGTTATTTTTGTTTAACTGAGTGGGAGACAGAAACAGTCCCCATACAATGCAACTATATCAGCATCACCTACAGCTTCACTTACTGAGAGTCATCACTC